GTAGAGGGTTGGGAGCAAGCAACCTGGGAACCCGGAGGCCCAACGGCTTTGCTCTAATCCCGTCGGGAACTAAACGGGGAGAGGCACTCAATAGATGGCTTTCTCTTTCCAACCCGGGAAGACCAGAGACGGCGGGGGAAACGAGGAGCAGAACCTGTGACAACAGCTCCCTGAGGCCCTCCTTCCCTTAACTGTAGGGTACAAAGCACCCAGAGCTTCCCCGACCCCTGAACAGGTGGGGGGGGGGCTCCCCGGAGCCGCGGCTCTCCCCGCGGCCCCTCCAGCCCGCCCCAAGCCCCGGAGGTGGCGCCGCCCCTTTCCCGAGCAGCCCCAGCCCTCCCCGGGCTGCCCAGCGAGCTAAAGGACGCGCCTTCATCCGACTCGCGGCCCCGGCAGCTGCGCTCGTCGTCCTCGGCGCTCTCCAGCTCCTCGTCTTCCTCAGGATAATACTCCGGAGCCGGCGGCGCTCCAGTCGGGGCCGGGGCCGGCGCCAACAGCCCCGCGGCACTCATGTCGCCTCTGACAACAGCTGAGCGGGCCACCCGAGGACGGCGGCCACCCGCCCTGCGGACTCGACGCCGGCCAAGCAGCGCCCTAGGGAGCGACCAACTTGAGAAGCCGGAGCCGCGGCGACCTCTTCTCCGTCTTCGAAAATCAACCCCCCTCGCGCCCGCGCTGGGCAGTGGGGGCCTCGCCCCGGCGGCAACTTCCGGGTCGAGAGCTGCCTGAGGACCGCCTGACTCAGCCATCCTTCGGGAAACGGAGAGGCCGCCGGACTCCTCCTTCGCCTTAACCCCAGCCCCTTCATCGCCGCCTTAAACTCCTCAACGGATAACGGGTAAGGGCGGAGACGGAATCTCTAGAGTTAGGCAAATCCATGGGCAGGCCTGGTCACGGCGAGGACCCTGGAGCTCAGGGGGACCCCGACTTCCGGAAACAGCCGCCAGGCGGCGCGTGGGGTCGGAGCTAAAGCGGGGATTGTTAGCGGCGTGAGAGGCAGAGGGTTTGCAGGGCTGGTGGCAGGTAGAGGTGGTCTTCTCCTTCAGCAGCTGGACGACATGAAACCTAGACATCTAGAGTGTGCGTGACCATCCCGAAGGAAAGGTACCTAGTTCCTCCCCTGACGAGTTGAAGCTTTATTGAGAACTGAAATAAAGACAAGGATGCTGGCATTCCAACCTGGAAACAGGAAAGCGGTATTCTCCCAGTCTCTGGGAGTCTTTTCTATTGGTATAGGTTTATTCAATAAGATGTTATCCCGATTTTACAGATGAGAAAAGAGCTGCCACTTGGCTAAAAAATAAATAAATAAATAACGTCCAGTCGGCCTTGTCTAGACTCTCATCGAGCCATGCCTCCTACTGTGCAGCTGCCTCATACTTCTTAGAATATTCGTTTTTTCAAAAGGTGGTGCCCCCCCCCCAATCTAGTAACTTGCTAACCAGCTCTCAGCTGGCACATTTGCCTACAGGAAGTTCATTAGGCTAATTTAAGGAAGATACTATGTGGAAACAGAAAATGAGAGAGGAATCTCTGCATGAATTGATTTGTGTGATCCCTTCTGAATAGCAGGGGATGCAGTGTTACAAGCTTTGCTTAATGAACAAATTTAGGATGTCCCTGCTCTAGTTGTGTGTAGCAAGAAAAGGCATAAGGAAAAAGACTCAGGTGTTTCATGGATTATCCAAAGCAACCCTACTCTCTTATGTTGCACCAAGCCTCCATAGAAAAAGTAACTCACCAGTAGTAAAGTTGAGCGCCCTGTAAAAAGGGTGGAATCCGATATTCTGATTCTCAGATCCTTTGTGACCGAATTTATCTCTGAACTGGCCCCCACAAAGCTGCTCAAAGTGCAAAACCTTATTCTCATCCTGTTTATTTTAACTTTGCTTATTTTCTGTTTTGTCTTCATTAAAATGTTGGCTGTATTTGAGAGGGATTTTTTTTCCTCCCAACAAAACTCAAGAATTTCCAGAATGGAATGCTGCAGTGTCTTTCCAGGAGTTAGGAGATCTTCTGAAGCTCCTTCTAAATAAAAGTCATTTTCAGGGCTCACCGAAGGCCCCCCATTTGCATATAAACTAAGATTTCAGAACCGTCTCTTGTCCAAAGGATGACATCATTTTCTTTCTTTATGCTGTTAGGTCACATCTAAATTATTTGTAATCAACTAGATTGAGCAACTTGAGTTCCTATCAGTAACAGTAATCGTAGACCAGAAAAAGCACCAACATTTTAGAAATTAGAGTCCATCGTTACAATGAATCGAAAAAGAAAAGAGTTGATTTCATTGCTAATTGGCTTCCTCTCGAGGCACTTGGGTTTTTATCGTATGTTTTATTTCTGTTTTCCCGATTGCAAATAACATCTGTTAATAGTCACGCATTTCTTTTTTACATGAATAGACGCAACTGAACACGTGGATGCTGAAAACTCACCCCATTTCTTCCAATCCATATTCCCAACTTCAGAATTGCTAAGATGATCTCTTAATACTCTTTAGAGGACGAGGGCCTAGCTATTTTAATATAACGATTTTGGACAGTCTTTCTAGGCCCATAGAAATCAACTTCTCTCAAAAATGAAGTTTTACCACCTTGAAACGTCCCGGCGTCCCTTCCCCAAATGGCATGCAGCCACCCTGCTTCAGAACTAGTGGTAAAGTCCTACCAGCCCCATTTTCACAGGCCCTCTTTGCCCCCCCCCAACCCTCAGACTTTAAAGGGGACCATCTTAACTGAAATGGGGTGTGATTTTAAAACACTAGGCGAAGTACAGTGTTTAGGACGCAAATGTTGTCAATGGGACTTAACCAAAAAGAAAGAATTAATGGTAGAGAGTTTTCTGAGCGCAAAGGCACTATATACACAATCTGACAAGGCTTAGGGTCAAATCGTGCTTCTAAAATGAAACCATTTCTTCCTAAAACACCGAATTGTCAAAGTCCATAAACTTTGGGGCTTAGGGGATGCGAGTAGCAGTTTTCGGTTTCCTGTATTGTTTCATCAACATATTCCAAATGTCACCAAAAAATAGAAAGAATGGCTCTGCGTAGCACGATGCACTTTCACCCCTGGCAGGCACCATCTTTCACCCTGGGGTCAAGATGGGTCCCCGGTTATCACAGGTTGCACTTGGGTCAAAGTTTATTATACTTTGCCCATTCGTTCACACAGGACCTTTAAAACATGTGGCCCTGAAAAAGAATGTGTTGAACAGGCTTGCTGAGACCTCGCTGAAGCTATCAGGGTTTCCCCCGACCAGACAGTTCCTGTTCCGCCTGTAATGATTACCAAAACCCACCAACTGATTCCTCCTAAAAGCTCTGTCCTTGCACCTATCGAGGGGGGCCCCCACCCGCGGGGGACGTTTAGCTGTGCCGAGCACGCATCTAGTCTGTAGATTTCTTTTGCCCAAGAGCATTAAACTGACGTCTGTTGGACGCCATACAAGGCAGGGCAAGCCCCTTGACAAAGATAGGAAAAAAACAGTTTAAATCCAAGAAATATTAACAAGTCGTGG